TACCTGAATCACCTAGATGGATTCTGCTACGCGCCATACAGGGAAAAGGAAATGTGCAAGGTTCAAGAGAAAATGCCATAACTTGCTTGTGCCGGTTACGAGGTCAAAGTATGAGTGATTCAGCTCCTAAACAAGTAGATGATATTCTGTCTGAGCTTTCTCATTTGCGTGAAGAACAAGAAGCAACTATAGCAGAAATGTTCCAGGGGAAATGCTTGAAAGCTCTTATAATAGGTGCAGGCCTAGGCTTGTTTCAACAGGTACTCTTCATTTATAATGGGCCTTGTTTCATTTATATAGTTTCAAATTTTTACTCATATCTGTTGCTCTCTTCATCGCAGATAACGGGGCAATCTAGTGTATTATATTATGCTGCAACAATTTTTCAGGTACATCTGCTGAATAGCTCGTGACTGCTGATTCAAATTTACCTTTAATATGACGTGATTTGGATCCGACAGGGTGTCGATGTATTTTACCCTTCTAACCTAGTTCTGCATGATAGAGTGCAGGATTTTCTGCAGCATCTGATGCAACAAAGGTCTCAATACTTCTTGGGTTGTTAAAGGTGAGATGATGGAGAACATTCATGAAGTCCTCTCTTTAATTTTGACAAAAAATTCAGGTGTTAATATTACACTTGCATTCAAGAATTCGATTACGCCTTATTCAGTTATTTATAATATTTAATCTCATGCTTTCATCCCCCATTAGTATTGTATTGTATTGTAATGTTCCATTTTTTCTCTCTCAAAAATTTGATAATTGTGTTGCTGTAGCTGATTATGACTGGGGTCGCGGTCCTGGTTGTTGATAGATTAGGGAGGAGACCTTTGCTACTTGGAGGCATTTCTGGTATGGTAAGTTATCCTTCCTAATCATTGGTTGATTCTTTTTCATGTGCCTCAACACATTTTCATAAACGAAATCCCTTTTTTATCGAATGCATTTCATCACCTTCCACTTGTTGAGGCTGCTTAAAACAACAATCAAAACCAAATTTTTTAATATCATTCTTTATTTGGAATATTTGACAGGTAATATCTCTATTTCTTCTGGGGTCTTATTATACTTATCTAGATGATGTACCAGCTGTGGCAGTTGTTGCTTTGTTGTTATACGTTGGATGTTACCAGGTATTTGTAAAATTTTATTTATTTATTTGTGTCTTAAATCATTATCTTTAGTTTGCGTGGAGGCATTCTTTGGTTTATTTGAACGCAATTAAAATGGCATAATTTTAGTTTGCCAAAGTAGGATAGCATTGTCACATATATTTGCTATAGAAAAAGTAACAGGTAAATTTGTTTCTACAAATAGAGATGGCCACCCAGCCCCGGGTGGGTGCGGGGCAAGGGCTTGCCCCGTTTCTTGCCCCCCCTTTTCTTTTTTTAAATTTCCAGTTAAAATGCAAATTCAAAATTTTAAAATCCAAA